ACCTTTCTCATAACCTGTAAAGGTGTTTGTTCTTTTAAAGAGTAGAAAGGGTGCCTGAAAATCTTTGATTTAGTCCAGCCCAGAAATCCCTCTGTATAATCAAATAAGGGGTGGAAGCTGAGGGACCAGGAGATCTTCACGTCATATGTGATCAAGCCTAGAACACCGTCCGAGGACCTTTCTGCAGGGACCTGCCCTGTGTGGATTCTGTCAGCACGGTGCAGCTCTGGAAAACTGCCTCGATACCAGGCCCACCCTGGTGGGAACAGAGTGCCTTTCCTATGAAATGCCAACTCATACCAAGTCAAACAAGGGGAGTCTGTCTCCCCAAAACAACAGGCAGGGAGAGATTTCACTAAGGTGCTTTCTGCCCCAGATGCAGGGCTGCTAGGCAGGATTCTTTTCACCAGCACCTCCCACCCCCAGAGCCCTTAGGATATGGCTGGATTTATAAATATTTGATCGGCCGGCACTTTGTTCAAGAACGATTCCATTTGTGGGGTGAGCAGTACCCATAATCCTGCTCTCTGCACAGCCCGTTACATGACTAGGGCAGAGGAAGAGGCTGCAGGCCTGGGAAGCTCAGGGCTCCTCATCGCCTCTCAAGTTCCTATCTCAGTCTTTAGTCTGCCAAGAGGCAAGGCTTGGCCTGCTTTCTCCAGAGAAGAAAGTCCAGCAAGGAGGCAGTGTTGAGTGCGGCGGCCCCCTCTGCCCCACCAGGGCCTGGGCCTGCTGTGTCTCAGGACTCAGTTTAGAAGTCCCAGAGAAGCTGGGGTGAAAAGTCACTCTCAGTTTCGTGACCAAGGGTAGCATTGACTTAACAGACTCGAAACATCCAGTGTCAGGTGAGGAGGGCTCAGGGAGGCCCCAAGATGATGATAAACATCATTTTTCAAGGACTCCTGTGCCTGGAAATGTGCTATGTATTTTAACAGACATCACATTTCTGATTCCTACTTTCATAGGAAGTAGATACTGTTGTCATTCTTGTTTTTAGAATGTGGAAACTGGAGCACGTAGAGAAGTAACCCTACCATGGTGACATACAGACTTGTAAATGGCAGTAATCAGACCTCTGTCTATACCTGTCTGGCCCGTGGTCAGGCTGTGTGGCTCCAGTTTAGTTTGTGAGGTGAATTCTGCATCATGGTGCTGGTATCCAAGGGGGTGGTGGGGTACAGAAAGAGCCTCAGTGCTGGAAATGGCTGAGTAGATTCTCCGTGCTGTCCCCATTAGAAGCTGGTCCCCACATGAGCTGTAGTGTTCCCAGAGTGATGGTACCCCATCACCTCGTGGGGAAGGAATGTAGCAAACCGCGTGGCACACATCAGTGCTCAGTTGATATTGAATGTATCATTGACTGTACCTCCAGTACAGTTCAGCCTCTCATCAAATTAATGTTTACTGGGCATTCTTCCAAGTGGCAGGCAGTGTGCTGGACATATGAGTTACAGTGCTGAGCCTTAAGAGACAGAGTCCTTGTCCTCTGGGAGTTTATTGGGAGACAGAACCAGCAAGTCATCACACACGTATAAGGAGGAGCATCACCACGAGGAGAGCTTGAGCCATTCCTCAAATGTTGTGCGCACAATGGAACTGGCTATCTTGCCTGGCACCTGTGCCCCCTCCAGAACCCTTTCCCTCATGGCAACGCCGCTCCATTTCTCACAGTGTGAAGCTTCTCACAAACTGCACACTGTGGGCCCAGCGTCAGCCGCTCTCACTGTCTGGCTCACCCGGCTCTGGTGATGTGGAGGGGACAGGTGCCTGCAGCTGTGGACGGAGACACACTCCAACCATCTTCTCCACAGACAGAAAGTCCTGCCAGTGGAGACCCTGGACTCGGGTCTGTGTTAGGATGGCAGCGGGCACTCATCCACGGGAGGTCAATAGCACAATAAGGCGCTTGGAAACTTAGTTGTCTAAGGGTAGGAAGAAGACATGTTTTTGAAAAAGTCCCAATTTCTCTTCCCAAGGAAGATCAACTAGTTGAAGACAGAGAGACTGTGGATTATTTTTGTCTTGTAGAGTTGCAAGGTGTACAGCTCTATCTTGTGAGGATTTACAAAGATTCATATAAATATGTGATTGAGTTTTAAGAATGCTCTTCCTTAAGGAAGTCTTGGACTATGACTCTCTGTCACCACAATTCTATTCATGTTCAGAACAATGGTCAAGGAATAATCATGGATAAGCGGAAGCCATCCACTCCATTCCTGTGCAAGGCTGATTCTGCTTCCTAATGATCTTGAGATTCAGACGAGCCAGTGCAATACCACCACTGGGCAGAAGAGGGCAACAGATGCCCGTTCAGGGAGTGTATCATGCCTGGGGCTGCCAGGAGGCTGGGGGTTCCTTCCACCTGCAGCTTTCAGACACGCGAGGTGCACAGAGCAAGGCCATCATTTCCAGCCCACAGAAGGAGAAACCAAGTCTGAGTGATATTAAAATTTTCTCCCAACTTTAGACAGTGTGGAAATTCTTGAGACTGGAAGAGCCACAGGCTTAGGTAATTGAATCTTCTTTTGCAGAATACTTGTTGGGAAATGGAGAGAATGTTCACAGCCCAGTTAGACGGTGGCGGAGCAAGCATACAGACTCAAGCTTTCTGACTCTGGACTAGAGCCCCTGACTGCATAGGCCAGGTGGATTACCCAGTTCTAGCATTGGGTAGGTGTAGGCATGGATTTCTGCCCACTGACCCCACTAATTCTGACGTCTGTCCCCTTGCCTTTGTCCTTAGTTCCAGAGTAAGCAAATAAAAGGCCAATCTGCCAACTCTGAATGTTAGTGAGAGGCCCTGAATCAACGCCTGAATCGAGACCTGTGCCTTGCCTGGGATGTGGTATTATAGAAGACAGGAGACTGGGGAAGTTCCTTTCATATATACTTGTTTTCTTTTTTTTTTTTTTTTGTCTTTCTCATTTTTATCGGTACCAGGGATCGAACTCACGACTGCCTGCTTGCAAGGCAGGTGCTTATGCCGCTGAACTAAATCCCCAGCCCCCCATATATACTTGTTTTCAATTGCAGTATTGAACTTATAGATATCTTCAAGATGATAACAAGCAATACGAACCAACATGTACCGAGCTGTGACTCTGGACCAGGAACTGCTGAAAACATTTACTATGTTACCTCATTTAACTCTACCCAAGTGATATTATTCTTCTTAATTCACAAATGGGAAAAGTAAGGCAAGAAAGATGAAGTAACGTGCCCATGTTCACTTGGCAGGCATCTAGCTTCACTCAGATGCCAGCACCCTGCACGCACTCCCACGGCTCGCTGTGCTGGCTCCAGAGGTTCCTGGCATCACACCAGCAGCAGACCTCAGGGGTCTCAGTGTTACGTACCCAGAATGCAGTCCACAGTGTTAATGATGGGGTAACAGTAATGGAGGCACCTGACACTTGTACAGAAATCCCAGAAGTTGTAGCCTGTTTTTACCCTAGAATTCAAGGTTTCCCAGGAGGGCTAGTTTACCCTGAAGAAACATGTCACTAAGGTTGCCTTTCCTTTCAGCTCTGGAGACCACAGCATTCCCCACTGATTTGGGAAAATTGGTAAACTTATTGAAAATATTTAAAACTTAGAGAAGTTAAGGTTTGTCCCCTGCATTGTGTGGGCAGATCACATGAATTGTGTATCATGCCTAACACAATGGGCTACAATCTAAGTCCATTTACTCACAGTAAATATTGCTTATATTTAATGTACTAGAGTCATCTATCATCTATCAGTCTGTTTGATTATTCTGTTGCTTGTTTTTCACTGAGTACAAAGTTGGCACGAGGCCCATTTAAAGACAAACCACCCAAACAATGCCCCCAGACCCTAATCCTGCAGCTGCAAACCTCAGCCTGTCTTTCTGCTCATCTCAAGGGCTGACTGATGGTAGGAAGGAAGGGACAATGCCACTTGTTCTGAAAATGCCAGCACCCATTCCGGTTCCCTGTGCATCTGAGAGAAAAGGAAGGATTGTACCGAAGTAGTCGTCGTGCTTAGAGTCCGTAACCTTTGGTGCATAGCTCAGGGATAATCAAGACTGTCTGATATGTAAACCATCACACCAAAGCCAGCATTTCATATTGTTTTACAGCATCCCCACGAAAACCTGCTTTCTGCCTGTGCCCTGCTTATTTGGCTCTTAGATTGCTGCAGGGAGCAGGCCTCTACAGCATTTAATGTCTCAGTGGTAGTCAGGGAGGACTAGAGAGTGGGGGGACTAGACACTGGATGTCAAACATATGCCCCACAGCCAGAAGTGCTGGGACAGAAGGAAGAGGTCTTTATACTCAGCGAAGAAAGTTCTTTGTTGTGAGGCCACGCCTCCATTTATCAGGCTCCTTGGAGCTAGTTGCCAGGAAAGCCAGGAAGGGACAGTCAGCCTTTGGCTCTCTGGCTTCGGCAGGCTCTGGGGAATGACTTTCCCCCTCCTGGTTACCGCTGCCCCCCCCCCCCCTTTGCATGATGTGCTGCGGGAAAGCTGCATAATTTATGATGTGTAAGACTACGGTCACGGACTAGGATTTCACAAATCAAGCCCAGCGGAAACATCACCTGGAGTGTCTATTAACTGAAAATTGAGCCCACATCTTTACACAGGATTTACCATGCCTGCTCATCTGGCTCTTCCGTCATGGAGCGAGCAGACCCCTGCCTAGCCTTCAGGGCCGCATCTGTCACTGCTGTAGAAACTCAGGAAAACATCCAGCTGTGGAACGCTGGTAGTCAGTTGTGTCAGGCTGCTGAGAGTCCTTTTAAAAACTTGAAATAGGACACCATTAGCTCAGTGCCAGCTCACAATTCCGGGTTTTCCAAACCCAGGCCAATTACTTATATCTGTCTCCCCCACCTCACCCCTTTGAATGAATGCATCGCGTCTGAATGAAACCTTGGAGAAGCCGGCATTGGTACTAAGTTTCTCACCCTCACCCTTATCCTTAACTAAGGGAGACACAGAAAGGTGAGGGGGTGCAGTACAGATGGCTGCTTACTGTGCTGGTCGCTCCTGTCTCTTGTGCCGTCCACTGTGCCGTCTGGAAGGATCCTCAGGAAGTGGCCCCCATTGCTGCAGTAGAGCAGTTTGGGCTTCTTATAATTCCCTGGAGGCAGATTAAACTTCTCAGTCAGGGCTGCAAAAGTTGTGATTTCTCCTTCAGCCATGGCTCAGCAACGGCTTATTGTGGCACTCTCAGGACTGTAAAAAATTAAACAAACCTTAGAATGTTCTGCCAGCAAAGGCTCAACAGACACTTTCAAGAAGGGAAGGACTGCTCCAGCACACAGGGCTCCTGGTCAGCTTGTAACTGCAGGCTGCCCAGGTGATGCCCAGAGCCGGGCCTGGGGGATGACCGGTGGTCAGGGAAGGAGGATCCCTGGCCGGGGAGGGCTCTTCAGAACATTTCTGTCTTCCCAATTGGACACCACTTTGGATCAAGCTGTGGATTTTTGAGAACTTCAAATTTAATCATTTGGCCAAAGGGCAAAAAAAAAATCATGTTTTGGTCCCTCCTTTTGGTCTACGTAAATCCTCAAATTAAACACTGAAGTTGCCCTAAAATAACATCTTGGGTCTAACCACAGATGCTCAGAAGCCAGGGAAGGAGGCCCTGCCCTCCACCCTCACACTGCTTGATGAGGTCCTGCCAGGCCCAGGTGTAACAGAGAGCACAGCTGGCCTGGACCTTTGGGGACCTGGGAGCAAAGGACACGGCAGGGGTAGGGAAGAGCTGATAGCTAAAGGAAACATTCTGGGTTTGCAGAAACTAGGGAAGGGATTAATGAGGATTTTAAAAGAGTAAACACTGTCCCAAAGGACATTTTATGAGATGGGTAATTATGAATGAGAGGCCTAGGTTCTGTTCATTCTGTAGCTTTCAAGAAGTCCTCATATTACACGGAGAGCTGGGTCTTTTCTTGTACATAGCTCATCTCTGTCCTAATTTTTTTTTTGTTCCAGGGATTAAACTTTGGACCTTGCACTTGCCAGATAGGCACTGTGCCACTAAGCTATGTCCCTGGCCCCACTTCATTATTTTGTATATGCGATGGAAAAAGAAAATGCCATGTTATATTTTATAATTTTCTAATGTTATATATACTCATCATATACACGTTTATGTTATTAGTGTAAAAATGCATCAGTGATTTCTCCAAAAGAGTAAAAAGAAAAGTCAATGAATGTAAGGATTTTCTAGCATATATTTGTTCCATCATTTAGGAAAAGGAAATGCTGGTGACTATAAAGATTTTAAAATAAAGAGGCCACAGCAGGAAGCTGCTGTGGGGGTTTACTTGTAAGTGAGTAGGTGCTAATTGTACACATGGATTATCAAGTGGTCTTATCGTAACAGTGATCATCATAATTAATATATATTACACTACAAATTTATGCCTGTTAACCTCACTGTGATCCTTTGATGTGGACATGAATATTATTCCTGTTTTTCACAAAATAGAATTAAAGCTTAAAGATATTAAATAACCTATCCAAGGTCAACAGCTAATAGTTGCAGAACTAGGCCTCAAAATGGGTCTGTGAACACAAAAGGCTAGTTTGCTCTTAATCTGCAGGGAAAGGCAAAGTGGCTTCACTGTCATGGAAGTATTGTTACCAGAAGTGGGGTTTTACCCATTTCCTGGCATAATGGTTGATACATTGGGTCAACTTGAGAAGTCTAAAAGCTTAACAAGTAAGTCAACAACTCTATATCTTGGTTTGTAGAGGACACATTGTTGTGCTCTAAGATACTGTTCATTTGTGTTAACTTGAGAAGTTTAGAAGTTTTAAGTGATTCAGCAGGGGGCCCAGGATCCTTGCTTTGTAAATGGCCTCAGTCTGTGCAAGAAGAGGGCACAGAGATAGTGTGGGTGTAAAGGACACCCCCAGGTGGATAGCCTGCATAAAATAGAAGGGAGGTGAAGGAGGACTGGTTGCTGATTCTTTGGAGGAGCTCCAGTCTTCGCCTTCAGCTTGGACGTCATCTCTTGGCTTCTGATGCAGACTGTTCAGCTTCCACCAGGGACTCTTCAACTTTCCAGCATTGACTCTTCAGCCCTTTGGCATAGATTCTTCAGTGTTCCATCACAGGCCCTTCAGCCTCCTGATACAGACTTGCACGGAATACTGAAATGAGTTCCAGACCTCGGACTGGACCCTTCAGCCTCCAGTGTGCAGACAACCCGTACGTGCTTCCTTATCCAACTCTGTGACTGATCATCATAAGTCAGTCTTGTCATTTCTTATACATTTTTGTATCTTATGTTATATCTGTTTCTCTAGTAAAACCTGACTGATACACCTGACATGATATATCTGACCCCATAAAGTTGTCATCCAATTCATTTTTCACTTGGACTCAAATGTTGCCTATCTCCACCAGCAGTCTCTGCTTTTGCCCCCTGCCAACCGTGGATCAACACTCCCCACATTTCCTTCACCAGCTCTGTAAATCCCCATGGCCACCAGACAGCTACCCAGCCTTATGGCACCCTCCTGGAGCTGCTTGCACAGAAAACAGCCTCATCATAAATCAAGGCAACAACTTGAGTCATTTGTCCTTGTGACACTGGAATTAGGGCTTGTGTTGAAAGCACTCATTAATTTTCTCTGCTCCTGGCATTTTAATGTTTCTGGTACAGATCTCCTAACCTGCAGCACACAAGCCAGCCACTGTTTGAGGTCTCTCCAAGGACCCCCAAAGGAAAAAAATTCTTTTATGGGTACTGGGGGTCGAACTGATGACCTCTCGCTTACCAGACAGGCACTTGTGCCACTGAGCTAAATCCCTGCCCCCAAAGTTTTGCATATATTGAACAAACTATATTTAAAGTCAGACCATCCCAAATGGCATTCTCCACATGTGGTAAAACTCAGTCCAGTTCTGGTCACATAATACAATAACAGACAAAACTTTATATCAATTTTGCACAGAGGACAGAGGATTTATAGCATATGATATTTTCCTCCCAAATTCTCACTATTTATTCCAAACTTTTCTCTTCCATCCCACGTCTGAGTCTGAGTGTGGACCTCTGTCACCCTCACTCTGTGTCTCTCCCCAGACTCTCAGTCTTGTTCTCATTCCAGTTCTTCAATCCACCCCTGTTTGGATCCCTTCTTTTCTTTTCCCCCTGGTGCTGCAGATTGAACCCAGGGCCTCGTGCATGCAAAACTGAGGCTCTGCTCCTGAGCTACAGCTCAGCCTTCTGGATCCTCGTAACTTCACTCATCATCTCTTCCTCAGCGCACACGTGACCAGATTCCCCCTCCCTTAAAATACAACTGAGAGGTAAGTTTTTCATTTATTTTTCCCAAGCACTTTCTAAGTTATATGTTTAATTTGCTATACAGGAGACAATAATTATACTCTAGTGCCAGCTTACTGAACAAATAGACATTTATATTGTCAACCCCAGGTGGGCTGGATTTTGTTCCTTGCTGTCTAGAGTCTCTTCCAGTTTTTTGTGGGCTTTTGTTGCTGTTTGTGGAGTGGCTGCATTTTAAGGCTGGCCTTCTGCCTGGATCCAGCCCCAGGGAGGAGTTTCCATTACATCAGTTCTTAGTGTTAAGCATGCATTTGACTCTCTCCATTTGCATCCCACTGGGATGAAGAGGAGCAGACACATGAAAGGCTGGCTGGGGCTAGAAGTACTAGCCCTGACCAAAGATTATACTAATACACTCACACATGTATGAGCCTTGAAGCCTGGACTTCATCACAGCAGAGCCTTCATAGCTAAATGACCTCAGCCAGAGTCCAGCAGGTCCTTAAGGCTTTCTCCCTCCTGACCACAGCGTGACCTGTGGTGATACAAAGCAACAACAAATCTGTTCTCTGCCTGGCTGTCCTCCCCTACAAAAGGGACAGTCACAGGGTGACTGTACTCTGCTGATGGTTCCCACAGCCCTTCAGTACAGCATCACACCTGGAAAATTGAACGGCAGATGTCAACTCCTGAACATAAGCCTGAGGCTGTGTAGAGTTGATGGGCCACAGCGGGTAGACTTACGGATCAGCTGGAATTCCAGAGGCATGAAAAGCTTTTCTTTTTAACTTTGTTACATTTTACTTATATTTTAAATAACGGTTCCTCCAAAGTTCTTTGCCAATTTGCTATTTGTTAAAGGATGAGAATAAAGGAAATACGTGACTTGATAAAACCATAAGGCAACAGCCTTAGCAGGCTCTGGGGGATTTACACAAATTGCTCTAATAAATGAATCCATTAACTAAGTGAAATCAGGCATTACACATAATGGAAATTCATGAGCTCTGCTTTTTGTTGCTATTTTCTTTTTATTGGACGTGTGGAAGAGGATTAGCTATGTTGTGTTTTGGGAGATGGAGAAGATCTAGGCCAGTGGACTGTAGGTCATTGTTTGCACAATCAGCCCTGGAGATTTAAAGAAAGCAGATGATTCTCTGGCTTGAGCAGTGGAACCAAAGTGAGAGGAACACAAGCCTACTGGAACGTCCATGCTAAGGCTGACATACTCTGTTAGCCACGACTTCTGGAAGCTGCCCTGAACTTGGAAACATGAACAGGATGAAAAATGTACTTTCTTGCCCAGGAATACAGCAGTCACTTTTCAGTGTGGGGCAGCAAGAAACCACAGCATAACCCTGGCTATGCACTAGCTGACTCTGGGGACGCAGGTCACACGTTCGTTCTGATGTCTTCTTTACCGCAGTCACCCCACCCTACCTACTGCAGAGTTGTGTGAAAGAAATGAGCATGCTATTCACAAAAATACTCTGAAGTTGTGGAAATGTGATATATAGAACACAGAAAGAGCTGATTATGTTACACTAGTTGAAGTCTGATATGGTCGTCAGCTATAATTAAATGCTTAATTTAATTTTTCAATTGGTTCAAAAATAGAGATTTCTCCCCTCTTTTTTTTCTTTTTGTGGTGCCAGAGGTAGAACCCAGGGCCTCAGGCATAGTTGCAAAGCCCTGAACTATACCTTCAACCTTGAAAATAGAGCTTTTCATTCCCTATCAGACTTGAAAGAAATTAGCTGGCCCCTTCCCCCATTATTTAAGCCTCAAATATAGCAAAGAAGATGAAGAACATAATGGTAAATTGTGGTTAAATATGACAGAGTTCAGATCATGGTTTCATAGTTAGTTTTCAGCCAGTCAACAGTTACTGAAGTGACATTTGTGAAACTTGGTATTTCTAAGAGACAT